AAACGCTCCCTTAAAAGGTAGCTGACTATGTAGATGTCGAGGCAGCTTGCTACGATTTTAGCACTTAGCGAATCCAGGAGCTTCGGTTAGGAACCATAGATGAACATTATGTATCCAAGTGAAGAGAGATGGAGCGTCAAGGTCTGTTTCATCTTTAGTGTAGCATAACTTCCAGTTCCTCATGATTAGTAGTGTGCAAACATAATCAGATATGATTCGTTCTGTTAGTTACAGATGGTTTAGAGATGACTCTAGACTCTACGGGCCAGAGTCCCAAACATAGATTAGGGCTAGTGCTGAAAAGGATTTTCAGTGCAGAATTACTGATGTGATTGTAATTTAGTTCAGATTCAGGGTTAATCTGTGTCTGGGAATCAGGCGCTCTACTATAAATATGTTGTGAAATAGTATATGTTCTTCATGTTTTTGAAAGCAAAGTGTGTCTTTTTTTTGTTGTGTTATTTACTATACTGTGTCAGCAACGTACTGGGTTGATGTTGTGTTTTTAAAGCAGACATAACACGCACCGTTTCTGCCAATCTCATGTTAATCTTGAGTACGTATAGAGGAGCATTGCATCCTTCATGTCTCAGAAGAGTCTAGTTTTATCAGATTTATAAAAGACAGATACATCTGTACTGCTTCTCTCCGAAAACAGTCGAGCTCCTGGAGGAGTGCCGTGGGCAGAGCTAAAGAGTCACGAGCACGTGCAGCTTTTGCGTAGTGATCGTCTGCTAACTGTGACATCGACATAAATAAAACAGGAACAAAAACTTTATTGACTTAAAGGTCTTTGGTGACGTTGTTGAGTTTGTGGTCAAAAACAAAATGACAAATCCTTCTTGAGCAAGTCCTGTGCAGCGCTGCTGAGGACTTCCGCAACCCGAATGAAGCATGTTGACGGGCGTGCTCTTGCTCTCGCTCTGGTTGAAGCCAGGTCTGGTCTTCCGGGAGAAGTGCCCATACAAGGAATTCCGTCCTTTATGACGTCATACAGGGCCATCAAAATGACAAATCCTTCTTGAGTAAGTCCTGTGCAGCGCTGCCGAGGACTTCCGCAACCCGAATGAAGCATGTTGACGGGCGTGCTCTTGCTCTCGCTCTGGTTGAAGCCAGGTCTGGTCTTCCGGGAGAAGTGCCCATACAAGGAATTCCGTCCTTTATGACATCATACAGGGCCATACTCGGAAAAAAAACTTTCCCGAAACGTATACGAACCCTGAAGGAGTGTCTTTCGCACAGAAGTACTCTGTCATACGTCCAACTCGTTTTTTGAGACTTTGGTCATGTTTAGCATGAGAATCCAACTCTTTAACAGTGTCAATATGTCAGAATGCATGAAATAGCTATGCATTAGACCCCCAATTTAGATTAAAATAACAATTGGATTTGACAGAGTTTGCCATTAAATCTTTGAATCATAGTCAATCACTTTGTAGCAAATAAACTAGATATTCATGAACAGAACTGTATTGACAGTTTTGGACTAAGAAGTCATCATACATCAACTAAAAATGACCTGTCTTGGTTACAGTTCATTGCAAAAATGTTTAAAACATTAAAGTTGTTTCTCATAAAAGCTTAGTTTGTTTGCAGATGCTACTTTGATTGATGTTTTATCATCTAATGTATTGACATTTTAAACATTTAAGTGTGTCCAAATACATTTTTGGTTCACTATTGAGCTTTTGAAAGCATATTTGTGTGTGCTTGCCATTGAATTTTTGTATTGGTAGTTCACCTTTTTGGAGAGGTAAGGATGTCTTTCGCCCTCTCCTTCTTGCTATTTATTCTTCTTCAGGTAATTATAAACCACAAAGTATTTTTCGGTCACTGAACACTTGAGCCTCTCTGGCGAAGCTCCAGTTTTTTTAACAGCTGCTGTACGGTTACCAGGGAAGGATTTGAGCTCTGTCAAGGACTCCACGTTCAGGCTGAATAATTTGCTGCTGAATGATGTGCTGCTGCCGAAAACCTGTATAATTAATTCATTGGTCCTACTTTGTTTTTTTGGCTTCCGAATTTTAAAGTCAAATCACACGGATAGAATGCAGCTGCATGCGAAACTCAGGGACATGAAACTTGGGTTGTGAGGCTTTTTGGATGAATAGAAATGTTGGGCGATGAGATCGTAATCGGATGAGTGTCACGCGGAGATGCATTGAACTCAAGAACGGTTTTAAGTTTTCATTTTGTGAATATATTCTGTTAGATCCAGGTTTTACAATTTTAGTGATTCAGTATTTACAATTGAATGATGAAACATTGATGTGAACTACAATTTGACGTTTTTTGAGGAAAATATAAGTGCTGCTTGCCTGTGAAAAATGTACTTCCATAATGCACAAGTCTTCTTGAGTGGTTGCCAAGGCATTCCGATGCAGTAGCTAGGGTAGTCTGGGTGGTTGTTAGGTGTAAGGATGGGAAACTTAAGGAATTTTGTTTCTGATTCCATTTTTACTAGTTTTTTGTAACACTTTTTTTTGCCTTCACTATACATTTTGATTTTGATTCACTAAAAAAAGAATCAACTCATAGGAGTCATTTGTTTGAGAATCAGTTGGCACACACTGGTTGCACTGTACATTTTTGATTCACTACAAAGAACCAAGTCAACCTTGAGAAAAAAAAAAAAAAAGAATCGGCCCACTAAAACCAACTCGTAAGACTTCATTTGTTTGATTACGCTGTCATGTTAAATGTTTTAGATTTATTAAAAAGAAATGACTCACTAAAAAGAACCAAGTCATTTTTTGGGGAAACACTTGGACTACACTAATTGCATTTTATGTCATGTTCTTTGTTCACTGAACAGAATCAACTTATTGGAGTCATTGGTAACACTTTATTTTAAGGTGTGTTACATGTACTTACTATTATAATTTATATGCAATTAATTATGCATAATTACATGCAAGTAACCCTAAGCCAAACCCAAATCCTAAACCAAACCATAAAGTAAGTACATGTAGTTAATTAATATTACTCGGTACTTATATGTATAATTACACCGTAACAAGGACACCTTAAAATAAAGTGTAACGAGTCATTCTTTTTTGAATCGGTTGGAATACACTGGTCGCACTGTATGTTTTTGATTCACTAAAAATAATCTATTCATAGGAGTCATTCATTAGAGGGAATCGTTTGGACTATACTGATGGCACTTTTTTTGTGATTCACTAAACAGAATCGCCTCATTGGAGTCATTCATTTTGGTATCGTTTGAATAAACTGGTCTCACTTTGTTTTTGATTCACCTAAAAAGAAGCGACTCATATGAATCATTCATTTGGGAATTGATTGCATTATACGTATTGCGCTTTGTTTTTGATTTCACCAAAAAGAATTGACTCATAGGAATCATTCATTTGGGAGTTGATTGGACTACACTGATTGAATTCTCTAAGAAGAACTAATGATTCCTTTGTTTGGGAATGTGTCCGTGTTTGTGGGTGCTCAGTGGCAGTGCATCTTATGAGGACTCCATCATCATTTAAAATCTTATAACACACACAAACACAGAAGTTCTCAATTAGGTCAGAGCCTCTGTGTGGGTATCCCAGATTGGCCTGTGCCCTATAAAACCGTGAAATCCACTGCAGAAATCATTTCTGCTTTGTGATCTCCGGCCGGTGAGATAACCTGATTTAACACCCTTATCCCATAATCACCTTTGAGTGGGCAATGATGACATCATTATAATAGATATGAGAGCTTTCGTGGCGTTTGTTTTTGTGAGGAACTCTGATTACACAAGACGTGTCCTCTTTCTCTCTCTGCACTCTCATAGTCTGTCACTTCTTTTTTTTTTTTTTTTTCCTTTTTTTTATTTTCTTCTTTATTCCTTGAATTTTCTTGGCTCAGGCATTTTTTTTTTTTTCTCCATATTTTTAATTTCTTCTTTATTCCTTGAATTTTCTTGGCTCAGGCAGACTTGACTTCAAAGTCTCTTAGGATACGTGTTCATCAAATTGAGTCTCCTCAGGTGAGCCTCTCCGTGGAACGAGAGACACGTCACTTATATTAAACTTTCTCACGGAGCAAATCTGGCAACCCTGCCCTTATGAGCTGAAGCTGAGGTCACACTAGGCTTTGAGCATCTGATATTACTCCAGATCCCACAACGCTGCAAACCAGGCAGCTTTTACATTTGTGCGCTCTTTGAATTCAGCCAAAAGGTCAATCTGTGACATTTACATCTTCTATAGGTCAAATGCCGTCACACAATACAAATTTGCAGCACAAATGTGTATGAATAGAAGGGAATAGTGTTTTTTTTGTGTGTTTGCTTGATTATATGCATCATATATTGGCTTGAAATGTCATTTTGTTGTAAACACCACACCAGTGTTATTTTTGTATTCAAGATGCTGTTAACACTATAATAAGGTTTCATTTGATAACATTAGTTAACGTGAGTTAACGATGAATAAAACCTCTACAGCATTTATTAATCTTGGTTAATATTTACATCAACATTTATTAATACATTTTTAAGATCAAAAGTTATAGCTGTTACCATTAGTTAATGCACTATGAACTAACATGAACATTTTTATTAAATAACATTAACAAAGGTTAATAAATGGTGTAAAAATGTATTGTTCATTATTAGTGCATGCTAGTTAATGCATTGTTTACAAATGAGACCTTATTGTAAAGTGTTATTAGTATTTTGATTTTATTTATTTTCTTTTTTTGTTTTAATTTGAAAGTTTTAGTTATTTTGTGTTTGTCATTTTTATTATATATTTTTTTCAGTTATTTTAGTACATCAAATTAAACTAAACATGAGAAAAGTTGCCTTTGCTACTAGCTGAATTAAAATAATTTTAATTTTATTTTTAAAATGTTTTACCTTATATTTTATTTTTGGTTTATTTTATTTCTAGTAATGAAAATATTTTTTTATGGCATTAGTTTTAGTTGAATAACCCTGGTAAACACTGAGTTATTGATCATTGATCATTGATGATTGTCGTTTTTTTGTGTTGCAGTGCTGGCCAGTTTTCGAGGAACGGTGCAGCATGGCTTGCCTTTGGAGATCGGTGACACGGTGCAGATCCTGGAGAAATGTGAAGGTACATACATACAAATAGTATAAATCACATTTTTGTGTTTACACCAGTTTGGACCACAGCTTCAATTTCAAAATGGTTAAGATGGGCAATGCTGGTCTGTTACTCGCACAAGCAGATTATTATTGCAGTTAGACCAACTTGTCCAGGATGAAAGTGCTGAAAACTTACACTGGTAATCAGTGATAGTTTAAGCTGACCAGCTGATTTAAACTGGCTAAGCTGTTATAGACTTTTTTGATGTCAGCAGGGTTGCTTGAGTATAATGTTGCCAGATTGGTCTGGGAGCTTCCCTACTGAAAGACCAATGGTTGGTCACCAGCATATGTTGGATGATGACGTGAATGTTTGTTCCTACCAGGCTTCTTAGCCAGCAGGACTTCCTTTTTCATTCAGCTTTACCAGGAAGTCCATGCAGGTTGAACAGCTTTATTCATTCATGTAGGGCTGCAACTAGCCTTTATTTTGATATTCGACTAATCTAACAATTATTAGAACGATTCGTCGAATATTCAGCCGATTACAATTAATCAGCGACTCTTAACTGTCAAATTTTACTTCAGTTAGGAGGTTGCGTTAGGCATGTGCTAACTAGCAATACAGACAATGAAACAGGGTTATTAACATTAACCAAATGTATAAAAACATATTTGTTAATTGAAATAAAGCTGAAATTAAATAAGTATTAGATGAAAAACTTACACTAAATGAAAATTAGAAATGTTGGCTTGGCAACTAACTATTTAAGTTGAAGCACTAAAATTGAGCACTAAAACTAAACTAAAAAAATCAATTAAACCTAAATAGTCATTTTTTTTAAATGACAAGAACACATAGCAAAATTAAAATAACTAAAATTACTAAATATTTAACTAAAATTAAAGTGAAAGCTGAAAATGTAAAAATAATAGCTAATTCAAAATATCAACGAGAGCTATTATAGTATATAAATAATACTAAAATAACACTGCAATGAAACCAATTTATGATAATACTATTTACTAACCTTCAATGAATTATAAGTAAACGTGTGTGTTTATGGGAGGGTTTATGTATGCAAAGTTTAATTCAGTAAAAAAAAAAAGAATTAGTGGAAACCCAATAAGTAGTCTAAATAAACTAGTGTGAAAGTCATTCTGGTCTAAGATGGTCTTTTCAGCAGGATTGGCTTGATTTGATAAACTGCTGACACAGAGACACCTGTACCACCGCTTATTCTTCAAGTAAGCGGGAGGATTTGAAACCAGTCTTTTTTTGTGACCCACACTCGACTCCTTCGTTTCCTCTTTCCACCCTTTGAAGACACACTCCTTTGTTCTTTGAGTGCACGTACTTCCTGTTTTTTGAGTAAGAGACCCCGTTTCAGTTGGAGAACACTATAAATGTTGTGAAGGAGAACACAGATCTTACACAGTTGATATGAAACTACATATTCATTAGTTCCTGACTGACTGCAGGTGATAATCATCAGATGAAGGGTCGTGTTTCTATATTCAGCTGCTGTTATTACACCATTTACCGTCCAGAGGACGCCTGTTTTTCACACCTAGGCTTTTTGCCAGGAAGCACAGTTTGTGGGTTGGTTCGCAGTGGGCAGTAGGTTTATCAGTAGAGCCCGACCGATATGGGTTTTTTGGGGGCCAATACCAATATTAGGGAGTAAAAAAAGACCGATATCGATATAGCGGACGATATTCTTTGTGTAGACTATATTATAGTACAGTATAGTCAAAAGTTTGACTGGTACTGTGTATAGAATACAGTATATAACCTACATAAACAGAATATATATACAGTGGGTACGGAAAGTATTCAGACCCCTTTAAATTTGTCACTCTTTGTTATATTGCAGCCATTTGCTAAAATCATTTAAGTTAATTTTTTTTCCTCATTAATGTACACACAGCACCCCATATTGACAGAAAAACACAGAATTGTTGACATTTTTGCAGATTTATTAAAAAAGAAAAACTGAAATATCACATGGTCCTAAGTATTCAGACCCTTTGCTCAGTATTTAGCAGAAGCACCCTTTTGATCTAATACAGCCATGAATCTTTTTGGGAAAGATGCAACAAGTTTTTCACTTTCGTTTAAACGACAGTCAAATTAGTCGTCGCGCACATCCCTAATATGTACTGACCTGTTTTTTATTTATTCATCAAAATAAGACAAATTCCATGAAATTCCGCGTTATCCAGTAAATTCCGTTTTTATGAATGTATTCCACGATTCCGTCCATGTTTTCTGCATCGCGGAAATCATAGGGCCCTACTAATGTACCAAAAGAATATGATAAGCTCATTGTGAGAGTAAAAGATGGGGACATTGTTGTTTATTTACTTAGCATTGAGTCTCTCCAACTAGGTGACAACATAGTGTTAAAGCACCATTCAACAGACTCAAGCCACCACCGCACTGCCGTCTATTGGACTGCAGAAAGATACTAACTTTTCAATCTGCTACGTTACTGACTGTACTGACAAATTATGCTGACACCGTGTCCGCGCCGCAACAGGACGCGAGAAAGCGACCATTGAAAATCATTTGAACTTTGTGTCAGCACGTCATAAATAGAACGGGGCATCAGTTTACTGCATCCAGTCAAAGACAATAGAATACCCTTAAAAGGACTTTGATCCAGTGTAGACAACATCACTGATTATAATGGGTTCTATTCTACACCGGACGCGAGCGGCGTGGCGTGACAAAATACAATAGAATTCTATTGTATTTTGTCGCGCCGCATGATGTGACTGATGTAATAAGCATGAGTTCTAGGCCGCATTGACTGAGTGGCCGCGATGAGCTCCGGTGGCCGTAACACAGGCTTTAATGCGCCGCAGACGCGTGCCGTGATGTGCAGATCAGCTCTAGTCTCACTG